TCCCTGGGGGGCAAAGGCAGCCCCTCTGAGCTCACCTACGATGGTCGAGGCACTGCTGATCTCCTCTGCTATAGAAGAGGCTTCAACGACAATGTGGGCGACAGTGATGGACTCCTCGACAGCAGGAACCTCCTGCTGGCACACGGACCGTCTCAGCAGGTAGGTTTTGCTTTCTTTAAACACAGTTCCCCCCCTCCAACCCACCAGGCCACTGCATCCCAGTTATGTGCAGCCCCGGCGCGGAGCAGCCGCTGTCACCTTTTGTCCTTCCTGGCCGAGGAGCCCGGCGAGCGCGTCGGGAGGGCGCTGGCAGCCCTTCTGCAGCTTGTGTTGCACGAACTCCTGCAGGGAGCTGAACTCGGCCTGGCAGCGCCCGCACTTGTGCACGTCATCCTCGTCTGCGGGGGAAAGCTCCGTCAGCGGCGCCGGCACATGGAGCCACCGGGCCAGGCGGGACCGCAGCGGGTCACTGCTGTCCCCCCGCTCCGGCGGGGCCGTCCCAGATCACCCCCGGAGAGGGACACCCCGCACCCGCCTGGGCAGCCTGACACACCGACAGCCGCCGCTCTGCCCGGCCCGGGAGGTGGGAGGGGAGCGGGGCGGCCTCGAGGGGAGCACACGGGCCCCCCACCCCGCTGGCAGCACCGGCGCGGCCGGGCCGCCCCTCAGCCGGCGGGCGGGGGCGGTGCGCGGGCGGTACCTTGCTCGGCGAAGGGCGGCGGGAGGCCGAGGAGCGCGGCGGGACCTGCGGGGGCCGCGGCCCGACCCGGCCCGGCCGGTGCTGCCGTAAGCGCCGCCGGCCCCGCGCCCGTTGCCATCGCGGCCCCCGTGTCGCAACGCGCCGCAAGATGGCGGCTTTACGGCCGTGTCGTCATAACAACGGGACGGGGCTCGGCAGGGAACGCGTCCCGCGGCGCGGGAGTTCCGGGGCCTGTGGGCGTTGTCGGGGCACGGTCCCCGCGCGCCCTACGGCAACCTCTGAGCGCCGTGAGCCGGCGAAGCGGAGCCTGGCGAGCTACTGCCGGATTACCAGGGGGTTACCAACGAGTTACCACGGAGTTACCCAGCGCGTTACCTAACGAGCCCCGCAGAGCCCGCCGGCACCGCGTGGCCCTGGCCAATGGCAGCGCGTGGGAAGCGGGCCCTCGGAGAGAGCGACCAATGGGAGCGTAGGACGCTGGGACGGGCGGGCGGGGCGGCGGGGGCCGGCTCCGGGCGGGGCGTGGCCGCCGGCACCGCCGCCCAATGGGGACGCGGTCCGTGCGGGGCGCAGTCAATGGGAGGCCGGGGGGGCGGGCCCGAGGCGCGGCCCGGCCAATGGGCGGCGCGGGGCGCTGGGGGCGGCGGGCGGTCATGGCGGGCACGGCGGGCACGGTGGGGCCGCGGCTCTGCCGGCGGCTCGAGGGCGAGGCGGCGCGGGCAGTGCTCGCCAACGCCGACACGCTGCTCTTCGACTGCGACGGCGTCCTGTGGCGGGGCGACACGGCCGTCAGCGGCGCGCCCGCCGCGCTGGGCCGGCTGGCGGCGGCGGGCAAGCGGCTGTGCTACGTGACCAACAACAGCGGGCGAACGCGCGTGGCCTACACCGAGAAGCTGCGGCGCCTCGGCTTCCCGCCCGCCGAGCCCCGCCACATCTTCGGCTCGGCCTTCTGCGCCGCCCGCTACCTGCGCCAGGCGCTGCCGCCCGGCGCCGCCGCCTACGTGCTGGGCGGGCCCGCGCTCGCCGCCGAGCTGGAGGCTGTGGGCATCCCGCACCTGGGCCCCGGGCCCGCCGCCCTGCCCGGCCCCGCGCCCGCTGACTGGGCAACAGCGCCGCTCGACCCCGCCGTGCGCGCCGTGCTCGTGGGCTTCGACGAGCACTTCAGCTACGCGAAGCTGTGCCAGGCGCTGCGGTACCTGCTGCAGAACCCCGACTGTCTGCTCGTCGGCACCAACCGCGATCACCGGCTACCGCTGGAGGGCGGCGCCGCCATCCCCGGTGCGCGGGGCGGGAGGGCGGAGGGGGTGGTCCCGGTCCCCTGGCTCTGCGGGACTCCGTGCTCAGCTCTAAATCATCACACCTCAGTGCTGTGTTGATAAAAGAGGAAGTTGCACCTCAACATGAGGAAGAACTTCTTTTCCTTGAGGGTGGCAGAGCACTGGAACAGCTGCCCAGGGGGGTCGTGGAGTCTCCCTCTCTGCAGACATTCCAAACCCACCTGGACAGTCCCTGTGTCACCTGCTCCAGGTGACCCTGCCTGGGCAGGGGGTTGGACTGGGTGATCTCCAGAGGTCCCTTCCAACCCCAGCTGTTCTGGGATTCTGTGTGGCAGCCCAGGTGTCCCAGAGCCTGGACTTTGCCTCACAGCACTCCTGAAAGAGGGATAATCCATGCTGAACCTTTACTCAGGGAATAGTGGTTCCTTTTCTGACTCAGTGTGGGACAGAATTCCAGCCTCCCGAGAGGCTTCATGTGCCGCCTTTGCCGGGGCTGGCCTGTCCCTGTGGCTGTGAAGCCAAGCTGTTGTGTCCCCAGAGCCCTGGGCGGGTGTGGGTGCTGGGAGCCCTGTGCTGGCCCTGACTGTTCCTGCTGTCCCCAGGGACGGGCTGCCTGGTGAAGGCCGTGGAGACGGCGGCGCAGCGCGAGGCCTTCATCGTGGGCAAGCCCAACCGCTTCATGTTCGACTGCGTGGCCAGCGAGTTCCAGGTGGACCCCGCCCGCACCATCATGGTGGGGGACCGGCTGGACACGGACATCCTGATGGGGAACAGCTGCGGGCTCACCACGCTGCTCACCCTCACCGGCGTCACCGCCCTCGACGAGGTCCAGGCACACCTGGACAGCGACTGCCCCGCCAGGCACAGCCTCGTGCCCGACTACTACGTCGACAGCATCGCCGACCTGCTCCCGGCCCTGGGCGAGTAACGGGCAGCCCTGCCCCGGGGACAGCCCCTGGGCTCGCCCTGTGGCAATAACCTACTCACTAGGTACTCCCTGGAGTTAGCAACCCTTAGCTTCTCACCTCTCTGTCCTCTCGGTATGATTCTGTTTACATCTCACTCCTGAAATGCACTTTGGAACAAAGGGGGCATTACAGTGGCCCCCAGGGCTGGGGGCTTGGGGCTGGTTTTAATTATAAACACATCTCTCCAATGTTAGTGATGCTCCACAGCACAGAGTCCTCTGGACTGGGCTGGGGAAGTGGAGCTGGTTGATGTGAGGAGAAGGGCTGTGTTCTGGCCAGGCTGGGCCATGGCTCAGCCTAATTCATTCAGGGAAATGACTCTGGGGATGTGCAGGACCTGTGGTTGTGTTTGGAAACACTTGTGGAGCGGGTGTTTGCCCTGGGGATGATTCTTTTTCCCCTGTTCGAGGGTGTTCCAGGGCACAGCCCCACGTCAGGTCACAGAAACAAATCTGTCTCCTTCATTTGACCACTGCAAATTGCACCTGTGACACAGGTGGGGACGATCCCACACGAATCCAAACCATGGCTGCTGCACACTGTGTCTGTCCGGGGTCAGGTGTGTGTACAGCACATATACACACAGGCACTCCCTGAGCCTAAAAACAGAGCAAAATATATTTAAATTATAAATTTAAGCAGAGTCTATGATAATATATCTTGTTTCCCAGGAGGGAGGATGAGAGGAATGTACTTACTGATGACAGTAGCTATAATTCTCCTACATGCAGAGTCTGTAGCCATGCAGGACTGTCCTTCCCTCCTGCTGCTTCCCAGGAATACCCAGATCGATCCGTACCGAGTTCTGTGCTTCCCTCAGCATCAACACAGCTGCTTGCTTTGGCTTTAGCTGCAGACCCCAGATCCTGCTCAGTCCCTGGATGGGTGTGGGGCTCCTGTGTGTGACAGTGGTACGTGCTTCCTTCCCACCCCGAGGTGCCGATCTTCCGCGGGGGCCGGGCGCGGTGGGGCTGTGAGGAGGGCTGGCTTGCTCAGGGATGATTTCAGTTTGGTCTCCAGGTGGGGTTGGGTGACAAAGGGCTCAGCCATGGGATGGGATTCTGTGCTGGCTGAACCCACTGTGAAAGCTTTTGCGTTACAGAATTAATTGAAAATTATATATGCAAATAACACGCTTCTATTCCATAGATTCCAGTATCTACAGTTCAGTTTTAGCACTGGTTTTCCTTCGGGTCCTGCTGTCCAGCTGTGGCAGTGCTGATGCCATTTCCTGCTTGGTAACTTGTCACCTTGCTTGTACAGCAATAACTCTGCAGTCCGGAGGGTCTTGGGGTTCCCACAGTGTTGGCTGATCCTTTAAAAGGGTGTTTGTTTGTAACCTGGAGTTGTGGCAGGAACTGTGGATGATCTCTTCCCTGCTCCTGTCTCAGCTGGAAGGACTGTGTGAATTCACCCAGGTAGAACTTGCCCTGGATCTGGATAATGTGGAAATGGACATTATGGATTCACTGCAGGTCGTGTCTGATGTAACCATGTGTCTTTGGATTCAGTCCCTGTGTCTGGTGCTTTTAGTGTCAGGAAAAGGCCAGGAGAGGTCCAACCTCCCTCTGGCAGCTCTGCCCTGCCGAGGGTTCTCTCTGGCCAAGGGAGCCATTGCCTGGACTCAGGGATGCTGGAATGTGCTGGTGGCGCTGTCAGTTGTGCTTCAAAACACTCTATCAGCTTCCAAATGGTTTTTAATCCTCTACTTGAATTCCCATTAAACTCTCAAACGTGCTCTCCCTGGTACTGTGTCATTTTGTGGTCTCATCTCCATGAGCTTTGGTGCAGCTGTGCAGTGGGAATCCTGGGAGTTAGGGATGCAGTTTGGAAGGGACCCTAAAAATCACACAATTTCACCCCCTGCCGTGGGCAGGGACACCTTCCACTAGACCAGGTCGCTCCAAGCCCCGTCCAGCCTGGCCTTGGACACTTCCAGGGATCCAGGGGCATCCACACCTTCTCTGGGCAACCTGTGCCAGGGCCTCCCCACCTTCACAGGGAAGAGTTTCTTCCCAATATCCCATCTAACCCTGTCCTCTGGCAGTGGGAAGCCATTCTGCCCTATCCTGTTGCTCCAGGCCCTTGTCCAAAGTCCCTCTCCAGCTTTGTTGTGGGCTCTCTTTCAGCCAGTTTGGTCAGCCCTGGGTCGTGCTTGGTAGGAGAATGTCCCAAAGCTGCACTTTCCCTGGGTAGACACCACCTGAAGGAATTTGGAGCTTTTCCTTGCCTCCACACCTTGGTTGTGTCTGGTTGGCAGGTCTCAAATGCTCTGAGGGCTCCTGGACTGCGCAGGATCTGGTGATCTGGGAACGCTGTTCCCTGGGGTGTTTCCCAGGGCAGGACACGGGTGGCAGCGCGGGTGGTGAGGGTGACATTGTGCCAGGGCCCTGCCCGGGCTCTGAGCGAGGGCTGCAGGCGGGGCAGGGGTGTCTGCGCGGGACAGCGGCATCGGCGCTCGGCGGAGCACAAAGTGCTGCTGAAACGTGGAAGCAGCCGCTGCCAAGGGCAGGCTGCCCCTGTCCCCTGCCATCCGATCCCTCAATGAGCCCCCCCGGCCCTGCCAGCCCCGGGGCCGCACAAAGCCCCCGATTGTGGTCCCGCAGGGGCAGCGGAAGGGCCGCGCCGGGCACTGACAGCAGCGCTGGGCTCCGCGCCGGGCACACCTGCAGCTCCCGCGGGGCCCTTCGGCTGCGAGGGACGGGTATTTATGTGTGGGGGATGCACGTTCAGGTTTCCCAGGTGTGCCTGGAGCCGGGATCATGCCCAGTCTGCGCGTGGGCAGGAGGCAGAGCGGCAGCAGCAGCCAGGTCCTCGCCTGAAGAGGAGGATGGAGGGTGGGGACAGCGCCAGCCCTGCTGCCCCTGCAGTGAGTATCCCTGTTCTGGCAAATCCCAGGCAAAGGCTGGCTCTGTCCTTCCTCTGGGACTTGACTTTGGACAAGGGCGTGACAGGACAAGGGGGAATGGCTTCCCACTGCCAGAGGGCAGGCTTAGATGGGATATTGGGAAGAAACTCTTCCCTGTGAAGGTGGGGAGGCCCTGGCACAGGTTGCCCAGAGAAGCTGTGGCTGCTCCATCCCTGGAAGTGTCCAAGGCCAGGCTGGATGGGGCTTGGAGCAACCTGGGCTAGTGGAAGGTGTCCCTGCCCATGACAATGGAGTGGAACTGGTGGGCTTTAAGGTTCCTTCCAACCCAAATCATTCCAGGATTCCATGATTCTATCACAGACAGAGCCCCTGCTCTGTGCTTGCCTGATTCTGCTCTGAAGTGGCTGAGATCCCACCATTCCTCTGGATCCTGGTAAGGTTTTGTTCATTCCCCAGCACTCCCAGTTCAGCTCCTGTGAGGCTGTCAGCTGGATAGGTTGGAAGTGCCTGGACTTACAGGGGTTAAACCTGTTGGGTAACAGGTCAGAGGTGCCAAGGAAGCCTGGTCTGACACTCAGGATGAGTGTGAGCCATGACCTGCCGAGGGCTGGGAGCTGCTGGATTGCTCTATTTGCACCTTTCCCACCTGAGGGAATTCCATTAGCTATTGAAAACCTGCCAGTTACTGCAGGGCTGGGGCTCTGTTCTGTTGGAATCAATAGGATTTCAGATATGTGCAGTTTTAACTCACTGCTTTTCTGGGGGAATAATCTGGAAGTTCTCTATTTCCAGTCAAGATCTGTAACTGCCCCAAAGCTGGATGAGCTTGTGCAGTTGGAGCACATCTAACCCTGGGCATGGATTGAATTTCTCTGTCCTTCAGAGAACTGAGAAACATGTTAATTTTTTTAAGTGTGGCTTGTGTTTGAGATTATTGAAAGCACATTTTCTGCTTTGTAAAAATCCTGTTATGTACCATGAAGTTAAATTTAATTGCTTTAACATAAGAATTAAAGTAAATTAATAGAGCCAATGGAAGCGTCACAGGACTGCTGAGCTCTTTTGCTTGGTCTCATGGAGAACAACTTAGCAAGAAAATTCAACACGACCAAACACAGGGAGGGGCATGGAAGCAGGATCATTCTACATGGGGTCTGATTCCAGTGCTGATGGCTCCTCTGGGACTTCTGCTGTAAACCAAAATAATTTAATTTGTGGTTCCCTGTGTGTGGAAAGCTGCCGCTCCAGCCCTGCCCTGGGGGTGTTGCAGCTTCTCTGGCTGTGGCAGTGCTGGTTACTGGGATGTGGGATCTGGAATTCCAGCACTGTGGGATGAAAGCTCCATTGTTCCAGGTGCTGTGATGGTTTGGCTGTTCTGCACTGCAACCAGTTCGCACAAGGATTTGTGTCATGAGCAGGAAGCGTGTTTGATGATGAATTGGCAGAAGGGTCAATTTTAATTCCCGTTCCTCCTTCCTTTGCCCGGTTCCCAGGACAGGAGGGCCACAGCACGATTCCCAGCTCCCCCCAGGACCTTCTGGATCACCCTGTCCATTGCCTTGATATTTTTTGCAGTTGTTGGCATCAGTGTCGTGGGGGTTCTCAGCTTGTCCCCCAGCTCTGCCCAGGTAAGGGATCCTGATCCAGGCAGGAAGCTCCTCCTGCCCACGGCCCTGGTTTGTGTGGGAAGCAGTTCCCAGGAGGGGTGAGTGGGGTGAGATCAGGGCTGGTTTTGGCTGGATCCCATCCTGGAGGAGGCAGGAAGGTGCCAGCAGGCTGCAGGCAGGGCTGTGGCAGTGGCTGGGAGTCCCCTGGCCCTGTCCTCCAGCACTTGGTGCCTTTGGCATGAGGGGCACTGGTGCCTCTCCCCAGCCCTGCATGATGGAGATCAGCCTGTCACAGATCATCCTTCCTGTGGGTCAGAGCTTTCTTCTCTCCGTTCCTAAATCCTCCAGGCAAGCAGCAGGGACCAGCACAGGGCCCAGGGGGGGATGTTGGTGGGAGATGCTGTGCACGAGCAGCTGCTGGTGGGTGCTGCCTTTCTGCTCCTTGTGCCCAGGCTGGCTCCCAGCTCGTCCGACTGACACTGCAGGGCCAGCAGGACCCTCTGAGGAATCAGACAGCCTTGGTGGACAAGTCCAGGGGCACTGTCACCTACTATGTCACCTCGCAGAGCAACCTCAGCGCCGTGGTGCTGTATGACAGCAGGAACGTGAGTGCCTGGGCTGGGGGGGTGAGCAGAGCAGTGCCTGGGCTGGGGGGGTGAGCAGAGCAGCCCAGGCTGCTGGAGTGGGAGCAGGAGGCGTGGGCCAGCAAGAACACCCACCAGCTCTTGCTTGGTGCCTTTCTCTGCACCTTTAGTCAGGAAAGACAGTGCAGGAGAGAGGAGGAATGTCCTGCCCGCTCTGAGGGCTGGCTGTCTGTCTGGCAGGGCTATGTGTGCTACAAGCCCGTGGAGCAGAGCACGTGCTACCTGAGGAGGATGGACCCCTGGGACCTGCAAACCCTGCAGGCAGCTCTCAACATGTCTGAGCAGAGGGTGAGCAGCTGCTGTGGCCATGGCAGGGGCAGCTGTGGGGATGGGGGATGGACTGGCCTTTGATCAGGGTCCTGGCTCACTGAAGGCCCTCTCCTGTGTGGATTTGCAGGGGTGACTCCCCACACCAGCACCCCAGGCGTGGCTGGAGGAGGGCAGGGGCTCTCCCAGCCGAGGGGAGCAGTGTCAGCCCCCTGTTCTCTGCAATTCCTGCCAGGGGGGCTGACACAGGAGCAGGGCTGTGCCCACCAGGTTGGGCTCTGGGTAAGCTCAGAGCAGCAGCTCCCGGGCTTATCCGTATCCCCACTCCTGTGGGACAGGGCAGCTGGCAGGAGAAACCTGCCCGGCTGCCAGGGTACAGACCACTGCCAGGGTGCCCTGGAGGGCAGAGCAGGTCTGTGGAGCTGGATGGACAAAGTGCCTTGGGAGGATTTACCAGGGATGTTTCTTTCAGGCCGAGCAGCTGCTCCGTCACAACAACCAGACCAAGTACTACCGGGAGTTCCTGGGCATCCTGCCGGGGGAGCAGGCGGAGCCCAAGGGCCTGGGGGAGGCTGTGCAGAGCCTGTGTGAGCACACGTCCATCTTCTGGGTCCGCAGAGGGCAGGGTAAGTGGGACAGTCCCCTTGGCAGGGGAAGCACAAGCTTTTCTCACACCTCTAAGAGGATCAAGCTCTGCTGCACAAAAGCTGATGCATCCCAGGACAGGCTGCCAAGACCCAGGACGGGGACAGGTGACCTCTAGTGCAAAATCAAACCATTGTTCACCATCCCCCTGTGCTGGCTCGTACCCACACCCTGCCCTGGCTGGGATGGGCTCCGAGCCCCCACCCCGGGCAGCACAGCCTGACTGCACAGCACAGCCAGCACACAGAGCTGTCCCCTGGGACACTGCTGCCTTCATCCTTGTCACCTTCATCCTCACCACAAGCAGCCTGCCGAGCTGTCAGTCTGCTCTGTCTTGCTCCAGCTTTAATGAGGAAGGTCGTTCCCTGAGGCTTTCCACTTGCTTGGCTCCCCAGGGAGTCGAAGCTGCAGCATCCAAGCATTCCTCTCACCTGCTCCTGTCCTTGCTTGTTGGCAGGTCCTGGGAGGCAGCGGCTGATCTACCTGTGCATTGACATCTGCTTTCCAAGCAACATCTGTGTCTCTATCTGCTTCTATTACCTCCCTGAGTAAGTGCTGAGCTGTGGACACCCTCTTGCTGCCCTACATACTTGAACTGGATTCCTGAAAAGCCTCTGATTTCCACAAGGAAGGTAACACCCACACCATCCCCAGAGCCTCCTGCTGATTTCATGCTGCACCTCAGGAGGGTTTAGAGAAACAAGAGGCCTCTGCTCAGCACTGTCAGCACAGACAGTCCCTGCAGCTCCGCCCCAGGGCTGCCATGTCCATAGCAATTAGGAGCCCCAGGCCTAGAGGAATCCCAGGGAGTAGCTGGTGTTCTGGGGCTCCATGCCCTGCTCAGCACAAGGTGGTTACATTTGTTGGGGTGGTTGGCTTTAGGAGAGCAGCTCTCCAAGTCACTTTGTGAAACACTTTGAATAAAGGGATTGCAAACCAAGACAAGAGCTGCCTTTCCTCTTTGCTCAGCCTCTTCCATTCCTTAGAAAGTCTCATTTTTATTTTTCTCCCACTTTGGGGTACAAGAACATACCAGGCTGTCAGCAGCTGATGCCACAGGGATTCCTCCAGCTCAGCTGTACCTGTCTCCCTGCAGTGGGATCGTGTCTCCGTCCCATTCCCTCCCTTAGAGGCCACACACATTTCAGCAATGTCCTGCTCAGAGCTGAAGCCTGGTCTCACCCCAGGCAGCTGCAGCTGCTTCTGCCAGAGCCCAAGCCCTCTCCATCAGGGAGGGGACAGGCACAGTGCGTGTCCTGGCTCTGGAGAGGGTCCTTGTCACTGCAAGGCAAGGGGAAACACAGAGCTCCTCTCCTTCCCACACGTGCCCGTTATCCCAACACGCTGTCGTTGAAGGCAAGGCAGACCACGGCTTTCTGGTGGCCACTGTACTCCCTCTTGATCTCTCCTGTCTCCACACACCACAATCTGGCCAGGTTATCAGAGGAGGCTGAAACAAAGAGTGAAAAAAGGAGTGGGATGTATATCATTACATTTTAAACTTCTTCTTTTACTATTATTATTAGAAATAGTTTCCTCTTGCTTTACTCACCACCATCCTTAGGGCTGGTGATGAGCAGCAAGGCAGAGCAGCTCAGTGCATTTCTGTATTAACTGGGATTTTAATAAAGAGCAGTGACTGTGGAAATCACCACAGGTTTGTTTTGAAGGGACAGCCACGCTGCACACTGAGAGCAGCACTGATCCCAGGTGAGACCAACTGCAACCTGGAGACCCCCTCTCTGGTTTAAACAGGTGTCTCTTGCAGCACAGGCAGAATGCTCCAGGGAGTTCAGCAGAACGTGCTGGGGGGGTGAGCCTGGGTGCTCCCACCCCACCCACGCCCATGCCCAGGTCTGGCAATGTCCCAGCCACAGGAACTGGCTGGCCCTGTGCTGGTGCAGGGCCCTGGCACGGCCCAGGTGCCTCACCTGTGACGATGTACTGGGAGTCCCCGGAGAAGGCACAGTCCCACATCCAGCCCCGAGACGTCTCCCCGGGGTTGTTGCTCTTAATGCTCAGCTCTGTCATCAGAGAGAAGTTTGAAGTCCTCCAGATCTTGCAAGTCTGATCTGCAGAACAGGTAGCCAAGAGCCTGCAAGGAGGAGCCATGTGAGGGTGACCTTGTCAGTCACACTGTGCACCTACAGGCCTCTTGTCACCATGGGCCTGGCCAGTGATGGCATGGAGACCTGCCTTCACTGCACTCACTCACATCTCCTTACACCTGTATTGTCTGATTTATGAGATTTCAGCTGAACAGACTGCAGGAAGGAGCTCACACTCTGCTCCTGGAGATCAGCAGTGGGATCCCAGCTGCAGGAACAGCTCGTGGCTGCAAACCTTGCTGAGCTCAGGGAGCACGAGTGGGACACGACTGAGAGCAACCCCGTGGTGACACATCCCCTGCCTCCTCCCTGAGGCCCTGCAGCATGGAGCCAGCATCAGCCACAGCTGGGGGCACAGCTGGGGGCACAGCTGGGCTCTGCCTGCCCGGGAAGGCCCATGTTTCCCATGGGAGGGAGGAGAGGGCTGCCCACACTCACGTGGAGTCGGGGCTGAACTTGCACTGCAGGGCGTAGCGATTGTGCGCCGGGATCTTGGTCTTGGGGATCAGCTGCGTCACCTCCTCGCCGATGCCGCCCGTCAGGTTCCACACGTAGCAGTTTCCCTGCAGAGAGACAGTGGGATCTGTGCCCCCCAAAGCCAGCCCGGATCTCCCCGTCCCGCCCCTCGGCCCCCCAGCTCACCGAGCTGTTCACAGCCGCCATGTAGCTGGCGTCGGGGTCGATGTGCACAGAATTCACCGACACCTCGGGCTCCGGGATGAGCTGCTCGTTGTGGTCGGTCTTCAGGTCCCAGATGTGGATGGCACCGCTCTGGTCACCCACGATCAGCTCTGCCTGCAAGGGAACAGCCCCCCGTGAGCAGCAGCCCTGAGCTGACACCCTGATCGTGCCCGTGCAGCACCACGGGGAGTCCTGCTCTGCTCTGAAGCATCGGGGTCCTGTTCTGCCTCCTTTTTCGCCAGCACAGAGCTGTTCCACACAGTGGCTGCACGGAGAGCAAGCCAAGTCCTGACTCCTGTTACACTCTGCAAAAGGCTGTTTCTCTTCCCAGAAGTGTTTGTTAATTTTCTAAAGCCCAGAGCACACAGCAGCTGCCTGAATTCCAGAGCTGTTGCACACCTACAGCTCCAAACAAAATCTACAGGAGCCAAGTGATTTTCAGCACATCTGAGAGGAAGCATTTAGATGCAGGTTGGCCAGTGAACAACTGAAGCACTCAAGAGCGCACAGATACCTGAAAAACACAACCTAGAGTGGCTTTTTTCTCTCTCTCATGCCTTCTCAGGGGAAGGACAAGAGCCAGCTGAAGGGCAGAGTCCTGGCTCTGATCCCACGCTCAGAGCAGAAGACAATGCTGGCATCCCTCCACTCAGGCAGGGCTTTATCGACAGCCCTGCACTGCCCACAACTCCAGCAGAATCCCTAGAGGAGATCAGGTCATCAGGCACAGCTAATCCTGGGCCTGGGAGCACAGCCTTGTTCTGAGGAAGACAAACACCACTGATATATTTACCTGACTGCACAGAAGCCTTTTCTGGGCCCCTTAATCCTCAGCCCCTCTTAGCAGGTGTAAAGTGCAATTCCTAAAGCCATCATGATTTACCCAGGCCATGAGGAATCTGGGATAACTGGAGCAGCATCTCTGCAGAGGGAATTGCAGAGCCATGGACCTATCTGAAGAAATGCTGCCACCTCTGGACTAATTAACCACGTTCTGCTCACAAACCAACACTCTGCACCTCAGCAGCATTTTGGTCAGTGATTATTTCCCATCTGAGACCTATGTGCAGCAATACTTTTTTTTACCATAACATATTTTCACAGCACTGATAGCACAGGAGCATTTGGGTAAAGTCTGGTCCAAATAACTGATCTCAAATCTGGTCTGAAATTCCCGATTTGCAAAATTAAACCTTTGCCAAATGAAATGCAAAGGAACACTTCCATTACTCAGCACTTTACAAAGGTCTGCGCTGCCCTGTCTGCAGGCAAACCCACAGCCCTGCAGCCCAGCAGAATCATAAGCACTGCAATGATCCCTATTGATTTCCCTGCTAATGCACCACATTCCCTTCAGCCTCATTCCAAGCCCCAGCCCTCCCTCTGCTCAGCAACAGCTGCTGAACCCACTGGTGGATCTCAACCAAACCTGATGGGAATCGTGGCTGTGGGCCCTGAGATACTTTTTCTTGCCAGTAGTGCCACCCAAAGCTCCTGGCACCAGCAGCTTGGCCAGGCAGGGGGCAGATGGGGGGTGGGAAGGAGGCTGCTGCCCGTCCTGCAGTGCCACCAAGAGCCCATGGGTCTGTGCCACCAGGAAGGTCACCCACCCCAGCCACTCTCCCAAAATCTTCTGCTGAGATACAACTCTGCAGCCCCTCAGATTTACCCAGAGGAGCCACATAACAACTTGTCCAGAGGAGCTGTGGCTGCCCCATCCTTGGAAGTGTCTGAGGCCAGGCAGGACGGGGCTTGAGCAACCTGGGATAGCAGAAGGTGTCCATGGCAGGGAGTTGGAACAAGGTGAACTTGAAGATCCCTTCCACAGGATTCAGTGTGCTGGGAGCCCACGGAAGGAGCCAGTTTGCTCACCTGGTTGGGGTGCAGGCAGACACAGTTGATGGGAGCGTTCACCTGGAAAATGCGCTGGCACTGGAGGTTCCGGGACCTGCAACAGCCGGTGAGGAAGGGGCGTGTTTGGGAGCCTGGGATCAGCCCCGCAGCCCCAGGACACTGCTGGAGGAGGGGAGCCCCCGTGCCCACCTGAGGTCCCAGATGCGGGCCATGCAGTCCTCGCCGCCCGTGTACATCCAGCGCCCGTCCTCGTGGAACCCCACCGACGTGATGTTCTTGCTCACGCCGTCGTAGTTGATGACGGGGTTGGGGTTGTTGGAGTTGAGGTCGTACATGCGGATGTGCTGGTACCCTGCAAGCACCGGGCAGGGCGTGGGCGCCGTCCCCGTGCCCGGTGTGCCCGGCGTGCCCGGCGGGACGGGCGTGCTCACCTGCGGCTGCGATCATGCTCCGGTCCGGCGTGATCTCCAGGGCGTTCACCTGCTGCGGGCGCCGTTAAGGTCGGTACGGAGCATCAGCCGGGCCCGCCCCGCGGCGCCCCGAGCCCCGGGAAGGATACGGAGTCCTGGTGCTGCACCGTGCGGGTGCAGATGCCGCTGTGCGCCTGCCAGAACCGCACGGTGTGGTCGTAGCCGGCCGTGGCCAGGATGACGGGGTCGCTGCCCACCGTGCCCTGGGCCGCGTTCATGCTGCTGCCGCGGGGCCCGCTCAGGCCCCCCGCACTCGCGATCCCGGTGCCGCCGCGGCGCTCACACCGGCGGGGTGTCTCTCACAGCGGCGGAGCTCCCCCCGCTCCCTTCCCTGCCCGCCCCCGCTCCCCCTTCCCGGTGCTCCCGGTGCTCCCGGGTCCCTCCCGGCTCCCGGCTCTGCGCATGCGCGCGGAACAGGCCCGGGCCGCCACAGGCGGGGTGCGCATGCGCGGGAGCGGGGCGGCGGGACATACCATGGGGGGGCGGAGGGAGGGGGGTAAGGTGAGACCACGGAGCACGGGGAGGGGGGGGGGCAGCTTCCAGAGCCCGCGCCAGGGGGCGCAGTGATGGGGGGGGAGGGAGCGGGATGTGGGATAGGGGGCGTGGGATAGGGGATATGGGGGGTGGGATTTGGGATAGGGGATGTGGGATATGGGGCGTGGGATAGGGGATATGGGGGGTAGGATTTGGGATAGGGGATGTGGGATATGAGATATGTGATGTGGGATATGGGAGATGGAACACACACCGGGAACCGGGTACACACTGGGCGTGGGACATATACTGGGCATGGGACACACCGGGCATGGGGCACACACTGCACACGGGGTACCCAACGGGCACGGAGCACAGGCGGGACACACACCAGGCACACACGGAGAGCACACCGGGCACCGCGGGGCGAGGCGGGCACTGGACACGCAACGGGCACCAAGCACCGGGCACCGGACGGGCAATGGGAGCCGGGCACGGGGCTCACAGCGGGCACACAGCGGGCACACAGCGGGCTCACAGCGGAGCCGCCCGTTGTGCCGGTGCGGCCCCGGGCAGGGCGGGCGGCGGCTCCGCGCGCTGCCGGTGGTCCCCCCGTGCGGGGTCGTGGGCACGGTCCCCGCTGGGTGCGGCGGCTGCTGAGGCCCCACCACCCTTCCTCTCCTGCCGCACCGGCGGGCACAGGGCCCTTTAAGAGCGGCGGCGGCGGCCGTGCCCGTGCCCGTGCCCGTGCCCGTGCCCGTGCTCGCGCTCGCGCCCGCTCCCGGCGGTGCCCGCGGCCGCCCCGCACCTGCCGGTAAGAGCCGGGACAGCGCGGGATGCTCGGGGCCGCGGAGAGGCCGGGGGGATGCGGGGATGCCCGTGGCCGCGGCGGGGAGCGGTGAAGGGAGGATGCGGGGATGCTCGGGAAGGATGCAGGGATAGCCGGGGGGATGCAGGGATGCTCGGGGCGATTGCAGGGATGCTTGTGGGGATTGCCGGGATGCCGAGCAGAGCTTGGAGGGTAACGTAGGGCACGGGAATGCCCAATGGATGCCCTTGGTGTGGGCATTGTGGGGTGCGCCAGGCTTGCAGGGTGCACAGAGGGCTGGGGGGGGGGGGGGGGGAAAGGCCCAGGGGGTGTCTCAGTGTCCTGGGGAGATGCGGGATGGGACAGGGGCCAGCTCTGCCCGGGGACTGGGGGAACAGCCCCTCCTGCTGCCAAGGGGCTGTAGCCCCAAGGGGAGTCCACAGCCTCTCCTCGCAGGAGCCCCGGGCTGTGGGGCTGCAGTGCCGTGGCCTCTGGGGAGGGGCAGCTCATCCTGTGGGGTGGCACAGGCTGGGAATACAGAATGGCCTTGGCCAGGCTGACCATGGAATGCTCTGAAAGCACCTGAGCATGTGCACATGTGTGTGTGCACACGTGTGAGTGTGCACATGTGTGTGCGCACATGTGTGAGTGTGCACGTGTGTGTGCACGTGTGTGTGCACACAAGTGTACATGGAGCAGTGTCACTCCTCCCACAGCCACACTGTCGTGTGTGCGGAGGGAGCGAGGGTTTGGCACGGAAACAGTGGGAACACTGGAGCACTGGGCAGCTGAGTGGCACCCGAACCCCTCACTGCTGGTCCGTGGGCTGCAGTGGCACCTGCAGGTACCCAGCGGGCAGCAGTGGCACCTGCCACCCCGGGGCACTCAGCTGCATCCTCCCCATGGCCTGGCACTCTCCATGTGCAGGTTTGGGTTTGCTTCCATCTTCCTCGGGGCTTGGGGCTCAGGCAGGTAGGTGGGGAGCTGGGCTGGATTTGGGGAGCTGGAAGCAAAACCCACGTGGGCTGTGTGGAGGCAGGGAGGGGGGCGAGGGTCTGGCCCCTCCTTACCCCATCACCATGAGGGTGTTGAGCCAGACTGGCCGGTTGTGAGGAGCCGTGGGCTCTCCCGAGCCTCCCGGGGACTGTGCCAGTGCCATCCCCAAAGCGTTGGCAGCGGAAGATTAATAAATATAGCGGGTGCTAGCGGCGAGATGTCGGGTTAGAGGGGCAGCATCCATCAGCTGAGCCCTCGCTGCCAAGGGATCTCCCGATGGCACAGGGATGTGGTGTCCTGGCTGCCCCCATCACCCCTTGGTGCTGCCCCCCCACTCTGGCCAGCACCCATCTCTCCCCCCCGACTGCCTGGGAACGCAGACCCTGGGAACCTGCCCTATTTAAATAACATAACGTACATTAAAAACGCCGAATCCTGGCGAGCTGACAGCATCTGTCTAAATATTTATCCCTGTTCCGGTCAGGCGCTGTGTTCCCATGACAGCCCCATTAGCACTTGGCATATTTATGGCCTTCCTGGGTGCTGGGCTCCCCGTGCCATGCACCACGGGGCCACTGACCCCCCCTCCCGTGTCCCCTCTGTGCTTTCCTGTGCACTTGGGGTGACCCCCAGGCTGGCAGCTGTCCCCAGCCTGGCACATCCTGCTGGGCTGTGCTGGAGCTGCCAGGAGTATCCTGGGCAGGGCAGGAAGTGGGTACCACACTTATCCCCTGGAGCACAGGAGGTGCAGTGCCATGAGGTACCTTGTCCGTGCAGGGAAGGGAGTGCAGGGAACAGCCTGCTCCCCAAAAGCAGGCTCCTGCCCCCGAGGGGCTGGGGGTGGATGCACTGCCCCGTCCCTGCCTCAACAAATACAACAGGACTGGAAAATAAAAGAGGGGGGGAAAGGGCGGAAATGATGCTTGTGTGCGGCTCCCGGGAGAATCTGTGCTGTCTCCTGCCTGTTGTACTGCAGGGCCCTGGGAGATGTGCTGCCCACAGGAGGGCAGCTCTGGGCTCCTGGGGTAGGAGCTGGCATCACCGAGGGTCCCTCGTCACCTGGGAACAGGGCTGTGGGTGAGGAGGAACCCGAGGGGACTGTGGGAGCAGAGGACACGGGGTGCTGTGGTGTTTTTCCAGGGTTTGTATTGGGCTGCAGAGGCTGGTGGCTCCTGGTGGGAGTGGTGCCCCAGTGACAGCAGTGTCCCCAGCGCTGCACTCACCAGGGTCTGGCCTGGCTGAGCATCTCCTGCTGCAGCCACAGTGCCCCTGTGTGGGACACTGTAGGCAGTCTGGGAATTGGGGCTGGTCATGTGCCATTGGATATGGAATTCTGTGCTGTCCCTCAAGCTGTGGCTGTGAGAGATAGGGATGGGGCACCTGCCACCTCCTGCTCCATGGAGACTGCTTTGATTTGGGCTCACTTTCATCTGAGTTGAACTCCTTGTCTCAGGAGTTCTCAAAATTAGTTTACAAAGAAAATATGTCAAATGAAATTTATTCATCTTAATTGTGACACCTCTGTGACATGAGCTCATCCCTGCAGCCTGCACAGCCTGTCCTGTGTCCTGTCAGGGATCGAGCACTGCTTTAACTGGACACAGCAAGGTTTCCCACATGGCCCCTGTGGGTGCCAAGGGGGTCCAGGCTGCCACCCTCACCCCGCCAGTGCCCATGGCTGTGCCGGTGCTGTCCTTGGAGCAGCCCAGTACTGGCGTGTGCCCGAGTGGTCCCCAATCACCTCTCCTCCATCAGCAGGGCTGTGCCGTGCCCACCCCCTGATGCCACCCCACCCTGCCGCCCTGTGACACAGCCCCTGTCTCGGGGGTGACCCCGCAGCCTGAGGGGATCCCTGTGGAGGACCTGCCCTGCAGCACCACCCTGTTTGCTCTGGCACTGGCCACGCCCTTGCAGGTAGAGGGAGAGGCTGATCCAGCCGCTGGCCCCACGCTGGGGCACACAAGGTAGGAGGGACACGGCACCGCTGTGCACGTCCCTGATGGGGTCCAGGGTGCCGGAGGGGTTCCCCCCATGTCACCTTTCTCTGGGTCTTGTGCTACCCTGGTCAGGAGCAGGACACGGTACGTGGGGCTGTGCAGGGTCACCTGTGCTTGGGGTCCCTCTGGCCACTGCTGGACCCTGTGTGTGTCCCCAGAGATGGCCTTCCAGCGGAGCCACCGCCTGAACCTGCTGCGCCTTGTTGTGCTGCTCCTCATCGCCTTGGCCGGCATCAAGTTCCTCTTCCGTGACAGGTGAGGTGACAGCAGGACCCCAGGGTGTTTGGGGGTCTGTGGGGAGCCCCTGGGTCATGCCCAGGTAGGTGCCTGGTGCTGGGGGGCAGCTAGTGCCCTGTGTCATCCCCATCCCTGCTCCACTCCCTGCAGCTTTACCCTGGAGCTGCACAAGCACGTCAGCAAGGAGAGCGGGTTCTGGGGGGACACAGGTGACATTGTCCAGGATGTCATCCCCCAGAGCCAGGTTCTGGAGCTCCCTGAGGCGAAGATAACGGCCCTGAGGCAAGAGCCTGGGCAGCAGGTCCCCAGGGATGTCAGTGCCACCGAGATGAGGCTGGTCCACTTGGACCTCAAGGGAGCTGCGCCCAGGGTCTCCTACCTGGAGCAGGTGAGGATGCCCAGTGGCAGGGAGAAGATGCCAAGGAGGGATGTGTTGGGGGGGGCTCAACCTGCCATGCTGTCCCCACTGCTGAGCCCACCCTGCCCACCCTGCAGGTGTTCCCCTTCCTGTCCCAGCTGGGAGCCAACGGCATCCTCATCGAGTATGAGGACATGTTCCCCTTCAAGGGGGAGCTGGAAGTCCTCAGGTCCCCGTACGCTTACAGGTGAGCAGGGCTGTGTGCTGAGCTGCCCGGCGGGGCGGCCCCGGTGGGTCCCGCTGTGCCAGGGCTGGGTGTGACCCACCTGGCCCTGTGCCTGCGATAACCATGGTCGGAGTGCCAGGCTGTGCCGCCGGCAGACTGGCTTCCTGCCCTGCTGGGACAATATTTGTGCCCCTTAGTAAAGTCCACACATGTGTGGGGTGGTGGGGGCTATATGGGCAGGGTGCCAGAGGAGGAGGGGAAGTTCCCCAAGCTCTGCCCTCTGCCCTGGCATCCCCCGGTGAGCCTGTCCCTGCCCTCCCAGCGAGGAGGACATCGAGCGGATCCAGCAGCTGGCGGAGCAACACAAGCTGGAGGTGGTTCCCCTGGTGCAGACCTTTGGCCATGTGGAGGTAGGGGCTCCCAGTCCTGCTCCCCATCCCAAATCACAGGGGGTTCCCCTGGAAACCCCCCTAATGGCTCCTTCCCGCAGTTCATCCTCAAGCACGAGAAGTACCAGCACCTGCGGGAGGTCGAGCGCTTCCCCAACAGCTTCAACCCCCACGTCCCCAACACCCTGGCCCTGCTCAGGAGCATCTTGGCACAGGTGATCGAGAAGCACAGACGCTCCACCTGGATCCACATCGGTGCGGATGAGGTGGGCAGTGGGCTGTGCAGGGACCCCAGCCCTCGCCCCAGGGGTGCTCCCAGGAGTGCTGAGCATCCCCCTTCCCCCAAGTCCAGGTTTTCCATCTCGGGGAGGGGATGGACTCCAAGAACTGGATGAGCCGCAACAAGGGCGATGTGGGGACCATGTTCCTGAAGCACATCAAGGAGGTGTTGGGCTTCCTCTCTGCGCAGTACTGGGGGCTGCGGGTGCTCATGTGGGACGATATGCTGAGGAAGATCAGCGTGGGAGCCCTGCGGGGTGAGGGGACGGGGACGGCAGTGGCGTCTCGGGTGTCAGCCGAGGTCTGTCCTGTGTCTCGGCAGTGCCCGTTCACGTGGCTGCCCTGGCACGTGTCATGCCTGGTGCTGGCAGGAGCCCATGCCTAGCCCTGCGGGAATGTGGGTCTCGGGCTGAGGAGTCCCAGGCATGCTCCTGCTGCTGGCACCGGTGCCAGTGTCCCCGTCTTGCTCTCCCTGCAGAGTCTGGGATAGCGAAGCACGTCTCACCTGTGGTGTGGTTCTACGCACCCGACTTCGAGGCTGAGCAGATCGGTAAGGTGACGTGCCAGGCTCCTGGGGATGGTGGGGGGATCTGCCCCCCGCTCCTCACAGCCTCCTGGGCACAGTGGCACTGATGGCTCGTGCCTGTCCTGCTGCAGAGCCGTTCCTCACCAAGTATGCAGAGAGTGGCTTCGAGGCAGTTTGGTTCGCCAGCGCCTTCAAGGGCACCACGGGGCCGGCGCAGACCTGGACCCCCCTGAGCTACCACCTGAAAAACCACCTGAGCTGGCTGAAGGTGATGCAGGCCCTGCCACGGCTGGCCCCGCTGCGCTTCCAGGGCATCGTGCTCACCGGCTGGCAGAGGTGAGGGGCACCAGAACCCCCTCCCTGCCACCCCGGTGCCCACACAGCCACGCTGGCAGCAGTGCAGGAGGCGATGGCGTGGCTGTCCCCACCCTGCAGGTACGATCACTACTCGGTGCTCTGTGAGCTGCTGCCTGTCGGCATCCCCTCGCTGGCCATCTGCCTGCAGACCCTGGTGAACGGTGAGCCAGCGGCCCTGCCGGCACAGCCAGGCTCACCCCCACCTCCCACTGCCTGCCAGAGCCTGGCCTGCCGGGAAGGGGACAGGGGGGAGATGGGAGGCAGGGGAGGAAGAGCTTCAGTCTCTCCAGTTTTGGGGGTGTGGTGAAGCCAGGGGTGAGCCTGATTGTGGGGTGGCCCAAGCCTTTTTGTCCCTCTCCTCACCCTTCCCAGGGGGCTTCACAGAAGAGGCAAAGAGGAAGGTCCTGGATGTGCTGGGCTTGGAGAGTGTGCAGCTGGAGCAGAGCACCTGGTGCGTGACCACCCCAATTGCATCAGAAGGGATGCACTGGAGGGGACCAGGGAGTTGGTCACCCAAATTCCCCAGTACCAGACCCTTCTGGGCTGAGGGCGGGCACCCTCCAGCCACGCAGAGTGCTGGGGTTCACCCAGCCCAGTGCATCCCACATGCTGGGGTCTCACCTTGGCCTCCCCTTCCCCAGCGAGGGCAGGGGAGCGTTCCCTGGTGTGGAGATCTACCACATGGTGCAGCAGGTTAATGGCCACCTGAGGGAGAGCATCCTGAAGGCTCTGGAGGAGGAGAGGTAACAGGCGGTGGGAGGCAGCGGGATTGGTGGCTTGGGCCACAGGGCTGGAACACGAGAGTTTTTCCGTGGGAGGGGACCTGCCTGACATGCAGCTCCCCATCCCTGGCCCCTGTGCCCCCCACTCCCTCGTACCTCCCCAGTGCCATCAAGGGCTGGTTCAGCCCCTACCATCGGAAGCACCACTTTGGGAACCCCCGCAACATGGAGAGCTTTGGCAGCAAGGTGCTGAAGTATGTGGAGCTGGGGGCTGGGAGCCCCCCCAGGTGCCTCTGCAGGGCTGGAAGGGGTCCCAGGCTCACAGAAGGGAGCTGGACCCCTGCTGTCCCCCCACCAGGCTCCATGAGGACTGGGAGAGCTTCGTCCGTGACCTGCGTGCCCAGCTGGAGAGGGTCTACTTCCCAGACACGGTGGAGGAGTGGATGGAGGAGAACGTCAACCCCTACCTGGACCAGCTGCGGGACCTGGTGCGGGACTACCGGGCCATCATCCGCCTCAACGGCCGGCCCAAGGCCACGTAGGGGCTGCAGCCCCCCAGCTCTCACTGCCCCCCGGCTGGTCTTCGGGGGCCAGCACCGTGTGTCTGTTTGCTGGTGACGGCGCTGCCGCCGCCGCTCGCGCTGTACAGAGCCCTGCACACCCAGCTCCACAATAAAGTATTTTCATAGATGCTGCTGGTGCTGGAGGGGCCATGGCTCTGTGTCGTGGCCCCCGTGCAGGGAGGGGGAGCTGGGGCCGGTGTGGAGGGTTGAGGTCTGTCCTGGGCCCCAGTCTCTGCTGGAGCTGGAGGGGTAGGCAAGCCTCAGGGCAGAGCGTGACAGAGCTCATGGGGACACCTCATGCTGGCCTCAAGGGCGGCCATGCCCTCCCTGCAGGATGGGATCCAGCTCGGTGCTGGGGCTGGGTGCTGCATGGCACAGGGAGAGGGCTGGAACCCGGGGTGGGGCAGTGACAGGGGGCTGTGCAGGGGCCCTGTCTGGCTCCCACCAGCACCCGCTCCCCACCCCCGTGTCAGCTTTCAGCCACCATGAATCCCTGGTCATTGGGAGGGAGGTGAGTGTCCTGAGCCAAGCCATCCTCCAAACCCTGCCTTCATCTCTTCCCTCCTTTCCATTAATCCAGGGCCCAGGGCCCCATGTGTTCCCAGACCCCTGCTGCCTCCTGCGCCCAGGCAGGGGCCTCAGTGCACTCCATTCCCATCGGAAAGGCAGCTGGGGGGGATGCGTGGGGATCTCTGCGTGGGACGAGCCCTCCTGCTGCCGGTGGTGCCTCCGGCTCCCACAGTCGGGTTTCCACGTGCCTGTTCCCTGCGGTGCCCACCCCAAACCCCCCGTGCCTGCGGCTCTGACCGTTCCGGGCGCTGGTTTCTCTCGGCGTGTGCAAGGCAGGAACAGGGACATTTCACTGCACATTCTTCTGCTCTGCAAAGACCAACCCGACTTGGCAAGAGCCCGAGGGAGCCGCAGGAACGCGAGGCTGGAGCTCCTCCTGCAAAGCCTGGCACAGCCAGGGAGGAGGGACAGCGCTGGTGCACCCCACTGGCCCCACAGAGCCCCGCGTCGTGTCCCGGTCACAGAGGTCCCAGTGCCCGCTGAGGCCACCGGGGCAGGGGCTGCCCCGTCCCGTGCCTGTGTTGGGTGAGCGGGTGTGGGAGCCCAGCAGGAGGGAGCTGTGGGGCACAAAGGGACCTTTGTTGAGGAGCCTCGTTTGTTATCAGGTGGTGGCAGATGTGAAGGAAGCCCCTGACCCGGAGGGGCCCCCGGGCGCGTGCGGAGCCCCGGCCCCAGCCCCCAGCCCGGGGAGCCCCGCGGCGGCTCAGGGCCCGTGCGGCCGCCCGGCTGCGGGATTAGAGGGCAGATTAGACGGCGTTCCGTGCTGGCAACCCAAATGTCCTGGATTGGAAAGTGGGGGTGGGGAGAGGAGACGACCCCGCCGATCCCGAGGCGGGGTCAGCCTGGAGGTGGGGACTGGGAGGGACCCAGGGGCTACAGAGGGAGCTGGGGGCTGTGGAGGCATCCTTGGGCTCCAGCTCAGGGGCATGGGCCGGCACGAGGCGGGCAGGGGGGCATCAGGAATGATCTTAGTTCCCTCCTCCATCTTTCCCTCTGCCACGGGCACACACACGGGGCTGCAGCCGCCCGTCCCCCTGCACCGCACACGGCCGTGCACCGCATACACCAGTGCACTGCACCCATCAGTGCCCAGCGCTGCGGTGGCCAGCTGGCTACCAGCCTTCTGGCTCAATTGCCTCAACGTCGCTTTGCTGGAGCCGGCACTCCACAAGGCTTTTATCCGGTTACTCGTCCGGGAGGGGAGAAATTTGGGCTGATTTTGAGTGGGTGATGACCGTGCTCTGCCCTGAGGGCACTGTGGGGACATTAATGACTTGTCCATCACTGGCCCTATTTCCCATCGCGTTCCTCAGCGTCCTCATTCCGGGAACACTCCACACCTGGAATGTCTCTGTCATTCCAGCCTTAAAAGTGAAAGGGACGAATGTCACCGGCCACTGTGTCAACAAAAGTGGAAAATGACGCGGTAATGAGGGCTTTATTTACAGAAATGGAACAGTTGCTCCTGTCCGGGTCCGTTACCGGCATCGCAGGCTGCCGGCCGGTGCCTGCGATGTCCAGGCGGGACGGGGATCGGCAAAGGGCACCCTGGAGCGGGACTGGGGAGCACGGGGTGCCCCGGGTGGGGGTCTGCCGGACCCTCCTCAGGTCCTCCTCGAGGAGGAAGAGGCCCCGAGCAGCCGTGTTCCCCCCTCCCCTCCGCCCGCCGAGACCCGCCAGCTCGTTACACGCCACGGCTGCGCGGCGGCGGCGGCGGCTCCCACCGGGGCGTCCCCCGGGCCCCGGCACCGGGGAGGGGGATCCCGCGCTCCGCCCGCAGCACCGGGAGGCCCCCGCCTCCTCCTCCTCCTCCTCGTCCTCCTCCTCCTCCTCTTCCTCCCCTCCCGCGCTGCCCCCCGCCCTCCCGGTGCGGCCCCCCCGTCCCGCCGCGCCCCGCCCCGGGCGCCCGCCGCCGCCGCCGCCCCCGCCCCCGCCTCCGGAGCGGGCGGGCTGGGCGGGGGGGCCGCACCGTGCCGAGCCGAGCCGTGCCGAGTCGCCCCGAGCCGCCCCCCGCCCCTCGCCGCGCCGCGCCGCGGAGGATGCTCGGGCCGTGAGCCCGCAGCCGGCAGCCCCGGCGCGGCGCAGCCATGGGCAAGGACCAGGAGCTGGTGCAGGCGGTGAAGGCGGAGGACATCGCGGCCGTGCAGAAGCTGCTGCAGAGGCCCAAGCCCGGCAAAGCCAGTGAGTGCGGCGGCGGCGGCGGGGCCGGGCCGGGGGCGGCGGCGGGAGGGGGATCCTGGGGGGGACACACACGGACACCGACGTCGCAACAGCAGGCGCGGCGGCTCGGGACCGCATCCCAGCGCTGCTCCCGGGGCCCGACCGCGTTGCCGCCCTGCCCGCCCCGGAGCATCTCCGGCCCCGGAGCATCCCCGGCCCTTCCCTGGTTGCGGCGCGTCGCAGGCGGGCGGGGGCCGTGGACGTGCCGGGGACCCCCGGTGGCGCCCCGGGAGGGGCGGGGAGAGGGCTGCCCGGTGGGGATCTGAGCATCCCGGCGGGGCTCGGAACATCCCCGGGCGCTGCGCGGGTGCTGGGCGCTGCACAGGGTCGCCCCGCCGGTCCCGGGGTAGCTCCCGGTGCAGCCGGTTCCCAGTCGGGCTGCCCTTGCCCCGCGGCCGGGACCAACTCCCGACCTCCAGGAGCCGGGCCCGGTGCCCCCGGGATGTTTGGCCTGGGCAGGGGCTGCGGCCGGGCGGCGCCGGGCACATCTGCGTGTGCGTGGAGCGAGTGTGCCCGGCCCGCGCGTGTGAGCCCCGGGGCTCAGCGCCCGCACACCTCTGCGTGTGTCCGCGCTGCCGCGGGTGCGTGTGCGGCTGTGTTTGGGTGCGTGGGGTGTTTGCGTGGCGGTGTGTACCCTGGCATCTGTGTGTTTGGCTGGGCTGTTGGTGCCTCTCGGTGTGGGGGTGTTTGGATGTCGCTCCGCGGGTATCTCCCGGTGCGTCCCTGCGGTTGGCTGTGCACGGCTCCCCGTGTGCACCGAGTGTGCGTGGCCAGGTGTGAGGCTGCAGGGGCGTGCGTGTGGCTGTACGTGTGTGTCTCCGGCTCTACGTGTGTAGCTCTGTGAGTATCTACTCGCTGTAGGATATAACTGCTCTGTCGAGGCGTTCCGCCCCGGAGTGAATAATTCATGGTGCTGATGCAGCCGCAGGTTTCAGGCCTGGTGCATGGGATGAACGGGGGGGGCTGGGGACTGTCCCTGGGTATGGACAGGGACCTCGTGTGGCATTGGGTCGCTGGACACACAACCCCTTCATGGCTGCACCCAGTGTCCCTCCCTCCAGGGCCAAGCGCTCCCCAAATGCTGTTTTCCTGGAATTGTGCAAGGCTGGTGTAGTGTCTCCCATCCCTGGTCATGCAGGGGTGTTCCTGGCCAAGCAGGGCCAGTGTGGTGTCCCCTGTGCCCTGGTGCTGGGCAGGCATCCCCCATGTCCCTGCTTTGGTGTGGCATCCCCCATGTCCCTGCTCTAGTGTGGCATCCACCATGTCCATAGTACCACTTGGGGCCAGTGTGTGTTTCCTTGTGCCATGCAGGACCAACATGGTATCCCCCCATGTCCTGGTGCTGTGCAGGCCTGACATGGTGTTCCCCAGGGCCCAGTGCCATCACTGCTGTCATTGCTGAGGGACTGTACAGGACAAGAAGAACCTCCAGCTCAGAGTCCCCTTCATTCTAACCTGCTCCAGGTGCTGCCACTGCAGTGGCCTCTCGGAGTGACACGTGGGGATGGGGACAACACTTGACCTGTGCACAGCACTGTCCCCCACACACCCCTCTCCAGTCCCTGCTGGCAACAGCCAGAGGTGCCAGAGTGCCACTACCTCCTCCTGCATCCCTCTCCTTCCCAGTGCTCTACTGCATCTCCCACTGCTGAGCCCTCCAGGTGCCAGGTGGATTGGCCATGGGGGGCCAGTGGTGCTCCCCATGTCAGGATCGCAGGGTAGGGACAAGGGACACCCAGTGAGGCTGAACCTGGTGTTGGGCAGATTCCCACTATAGGCCTGGATGCTTGCCCCATTCCCTGGCTGGGCTGTCCATCTCCAGCTCTGCTGAGCCCTCCAGTGCCAGTGCTGGGCTGCTCTGGTGCCATTTCCCCCTGGACCCGGCTCTCTTGCCTGGCAGAGGGTGCCACACGTGTGTCACAGGTGCTGTGCTCCCAGCCTGGGGTGCATGAGCACCTCTGACCATGGCAGTGAGGCTGGAGGAGCAGTATGAGGAGAGGGACAGCACTGAGCAGGGCTGTCCCCATGCCGCCGTGGCGGCCCCATGTCCCCTCCAAGTTCCAGTCCCACACATGCCTGTGGTGCTCCCCGCGCTGTGCGGCACCAGGAAGATTTGTAACTTAGCTCTGTTATCTGGATAATATCCTATTCATGTGGGGTTTAATAAATGAGATTTTAAAAATCCTTGCGTGAATTAGCGCGGGTTGCCATGGCGACATGGGGCCCGGTGTGGTGTGTGGAGTGCGGGGCCGGGGCCCGGGCCGGCCGCAGCGCGCACCGCGCCTGCTTCCCGGGCATCCATAATTGATGAGGTTGTCTGAAAGTTGCGCAAATCAGA